GTTCCTCCAGCCTGTCAGTGTGGGACACTCCCTTCTGCCCTGGAAAGCATCTAATTGCTGTTCTTTGGACTAATACCAGAGTAATAATGTACTTATGCCATGGTCATGTATCTAATATTCTAAACGTTTCCTATGTGATATTTTATAGATTGATTTTGTTTCATGCGTGTAACACTCTACATTTGTCTACATTAAGTGTCTGAATTAAATGTCTAAATGACATTCTCTTCTCAGTTGTAAGAAATTCTAATTGCCAAGAGATAAGATGATGAATTGAAAAGAACAGTGTCCCAGGCCTACTGTGACCTACTGCACCTGACAGAGGAGATGCCAACCCTGCAGGACTGTCTAAACCGCCAGAAAAGGCTGTAAAGACTAAAGGAACCCAAAACAGTGATGCAGATTTCTACAAAGATGGAGCTGCTGGGGTGTGAGCTGAGATCTGGAGGTTTGAGGTTTTGGAGGAAACCACAGCAGGGTGTGACAGGGAAGCTCTGTGCTGCTGGTTTCTGTGGAGCACTGATGGAGGAGGAAGTGAGAGACAAGCACTGTGATGCAGGTGAAGGACGCAGGTCTGCCAACAGGCAGTGGATCCACACGTCCTCACAAGCTTGAGGCGGGCAGCAGGAGACCCTGCAGGGCCCTGGACAGGGTAGCGTGAGGTTAGGAAGCGGTAGGTGAATTATTACTTGTTGAAGTGATGTTCTCAGAATCTTACCCTTTTCAGCTTGACTGTCCAGGTGCTGTTTTTTTTCTTCTTGTTTGCAGAAGGAATCATAGAACCCGACCTGGGACACCAGCTTCTCCACCTTCTCCAACAGCCCCCTGACCTGAGAGCCGTCTCCCCTGTCAGTGTTGTTGAAGAGGTGACACCTGTTCCCACATTTCTGAATGATCCTCTGCAGGTTCTCATCCAACTGGACAAACTGCTGGAGACTCCTGCCTTTCAGCCTGTCTCCGTGAGTGAAGAGGACCACCGTGTGCCGGCTCACCCCCTCTCCCAGCAGCTCCTGCAGGGTCTCCACTGCTCTCTTCTCCTGCTGGGAGAAGCGGCCCAGCTGGATGACCAGGAGCACAGCGTGGGGTCCAGGGGCAGACAGCTGGACAGCTCTCTGGATCTCTCCTCTCAGATCCTTGTCAGAGAGCTCAGTGTTGAACAGGCCTGGGGTGTCGACCACAGTGACTCTTCTCCAACACACCTCTCCCTGCGCCTCCTGGCTCCTCAGAGTGAGTGCAGAGGAGCTGAGCTCTGATCTGAACTCCTCTCTGCCCAGGATGGTGTTTCCTGCTGCACTCTTCCCCACTCCACACACACCCACCAGCACCAGTCTCAGTGCCTGTACGTCAGGCTCTGTGGACAAAAGCAATAGTTAAGATTCTGCAGAACACACATATTTTTAGATTACCTCCGTCAAGTTGATCCTATCGTTTCAACAGGTCAGTGTCTGTCCAATATGGGACTTAAGGGAATGGACTACAGTGTCCAGATGAAGGGACTGAGACTTCCTAGTGAACAGAGAGGAGGCACTGACTGAATCAACACTGGGGACTTCTTCAGAACCAGCAGTGAAACATGAACAGAGGAAAGTGTAACCAGCGTGGAAGAGCAAGTGTGCTCCGACTTCCTACAAGAAACAGCTGGATAAGATCCTCTGACTCTAAAAGGACCAGATGTGCAGTGTCTCCTCTCATCTGTAACCTGTATATTCTTACGGTATACATTGCACATGATTTTCCAACGACATCAAGAACTGCAACGTGCTGGCAGTCACTGAAACCTGGCTTGACCCATCTGTTCCGGACTCTGCTATACTGCCGGGAGGATTTTCTATTCACCGTCAGGACAGAACAACGGATTCGGGTAAGAGCAAAGGCGGCGGGGTATGCTTCATGGTAAACAATTCCTGGTGCATAGACGTGGAGATTATTTCAACATCTTGCTCTACACATCTTGAACATCTGACGATAAAATGTCGCCCTTTCTATCTCCGGAGGGAGTTCACATCGGTAGTTCTCACAGTGGTGTATATTCCGCCGCAGGCAAATTTCACAAGGGCACTGGATGAACTACACTCTCACCTTACCAGACACAAGAATACACATCCTGAGAGGGCAGTCATCATAGCGGGTGATTTCAACGGTGCGAACTTGAAAAAAACAATGCCTAATCTACATCAACACATCGACTGCCCGACGCGCAGAACAAACACGTTGGACAATGTTTACACTCCCTTCCGGGATGGTAACAAAGCCCTCCTCCGACCTCCTTCCGGCAAATCCGATCACGCCTCCGTTCTGCTACTTCCCGTTTACAAGCAGAAGCTTAACCAGGAGAGGCCAGCGTTAAGAACCATTCAACGTTGGTCGGACGAATCAGATTTTATACTAAATCACTGTTTTGCTACCACTGACTGGCAGATCTTCCGCGAAGCTGCCGAAATTAATATCAACCTGTATACGGACTATGTTACTGGCTACATCAGTAAATGTATTGAAGACGTGGTTCCCAGGATTACTGTTCGCACATATCCCAATCAGAAACCGTGGGTAAATGGTGAGATACGCACCAAACTGAAAGCTAGGACAGCTGCTTTCAATTCTGGCGATATGGGTAAATACCAAAAATCCAGATACGACCTCAGGAAAGCCATCAAAAGAGCTAAATACAACTACAGAGTTAAACTAGAGTCATATTATCACAGCTGCAACACACGGAGCATGTGGAGTGGTATACGCACCATTACAGACTACAAAACGCAACCCAGCTATATCGCACAACAGTCTGCCTCTCTTCCTGATGAGGTAAATTCATTCTCTGCTCGGGTTGAGGTCAGCAACACAGATCCAGTGAGGACGATTCCAGAAATCCAAGACGGAAACCCACTGATCATATCCAGAGCGGATGTGTGTCAAGTTTTTAAAAAGACCAATCCACTCAAGGCTCCTGGCCCTGATGCCATCCCTGGCCGTGCTCTGAAGGCATGTGCAGACCAGCTGGCAGATGTCTTCTCTGACATATTCAATCTCTCCCTAGCTCAGTCTATAGTTCCTTCCTTTTTAAAGAAAACTACCATTGTCCCTGTTCCTAAGAAACCCAGAGTCAGTTGCCTAAATGACTACCGCCCTGTTGCACTCACATCAGTTATCATGAAGTGCTTCGAGCGGCTGGTCAAAGCACACATCACCTCCTCACTGCCTGACACCCCAGACCCACTGCAGTATGCGTATCGCCAGAACAGGTCAACAGAAGATGCTATTGCCACTGCCCTCCATACTGCCCTCTCACACCTGGATAAGAAAGGAACATATGTGAGAATGCTGTTTGTTGATTACAGCTCAACATTCAATACCATAGTGCCCTCAAAGCTTGTCATCAAGCTCCAGGACCTGGGACTGAACACCTCCCTCTGTAACTGGATCCTGGACTTCTTGACAGAACGTCCGCAGGTGGTGAAGGTGGGCACCAACATATCCTCTACCCTGACTCTAAACACTGGAGCCCCCCAAGTCTGTGTGCTTAGCCTGTCCTCTGCTCCTTATTCACCCATGACTGTGTCACCAGGCATCACTCAAACTCCATCATCAAGTTTGCGGACGATACAACAGTCATCGGTCTGATCACAGATGGTGAAGAGCCTGTGTACATGCAGCATGGTGCCAGGAGAACAGCCTCTCTCTGAACATCAGTAAGACTAAGGAGATGATTGTGGACTATAGGAAACATCAGGGTGGAGACCACACACCTATTCACATCAATGGGACTGCAGTGGAGTGGGTCAGCAGCTCAAGTTCCTGGGAGTTAACATCTCAGAGGATTTAACCTGGACCCACCACACCAACACCGTGGTCAAGACAGCACGGCAGCCCCTGTTCTTTCTCCGCAGGCTAAAGAAGTTCGGCATGCCATCACATATCCAGGCCAACTTCTACAGGTGCACTATTGAGAGCATCCTGACTGGTTGCATCACTGCCTGGTTTGGGAGCTGCTCTGCCCGGGATCACAAAGTACTGCAGAGGGTGGTGACGTCAGCGCAGCTCATTACCAGCTGTGAGCTACCAAGCATCCAGGAGATCTACTCAGCTATATGTCTGAAGAAGGCCAGGTCCATTCTCAAGGAGCCCAGTCATCCCAGTCACAAACTGTTTTCCCTCCTACCGTCCGGTAAAAGGTACCAAAGCATTCGGTCCAAATTCAACAGACTACAGAACAGCTTCTACCTCCAGGCAATAAGACAGCTAAACAGCCAACCTGCAGCTCCTTAGCAAATCACCTGTAATGGCTACACGGACACACAGTTTTCACTGTATTCAGCACAACTGCAGTACTTGTATATCTTGCATACACCATGGACACATAGCAGCTCTACTCATATTGAGTTTTATTCCATTTAAAAAATGTAACCTCAATTTTGTGATTTTTGTGTTTTGGTGAATTTTTGTGATTTTTGTGGTTCTTGTAATTTTTGTGAGCTCGCAGAAAAAGACATTTCATTGGCAACAACTACTGCTGCACGCCGTATTGTTGTGCATTTGATAAATAAACTTTGATATGATTTGATTTGATATCCATGTACAAACGGAGTCCTGACTGATGACAGGGCTCCTGCTGTCATGATGAGAGAGCTGGGGAGCGTGGGCTGTCTGACACACTGACACATTGGAGACTCCAGTCAGCTCTGTGTCCTGTGCTGTATCGATGAAGAGAGGGGCCGATGGCTCTGTGTGGCTGGTCAGTGAACAGTCATTGTGGGTACATTCATTTATCTCTATTAATATATTAGAATACAATAGAATTAAGCAAAGTCAGAACAAAACTGTTACACCATTTAATTTTTCCATGCTTTTATTTATTGAGCTTTTAGCTTTTAGAGGGGCAAGCAGTATCAGCTTGTCAAGAAACAAGATGAAGGTATTTCAACTATGTAGGGTTGTGGTCATTGTAATGTTTGCCATTTGGAATTCATTCATTTCTTCAGTTATGTTGATTTTGTTAACAAAACAAAATTAAACAAATTTAAGAAAACACATTTCTAAAAACAAATTTAACAAAATTGTCTTCCTCTCCACACATCCAAACAGCTAAAAAGCTGCCACAAAACACAGGTCTAGATCTAATATAGGAATAACCTTTAAAAATGGTTTACAAAGAAACAATTTCTGGGTAAACAGTCATCCTGGACTTAAAAGAGTTAAAAGAGCACACGTTTGCACAGCTGAGGCTACAGTGTGTCTGAGTTGGCAACCACAACACCTTTCAAATAACTTTATCTGTAGAATCTACACTTTCCTCAAAACCGATAAAGCTAACAAATGCTGATAGTAATAATGCAAATACATTCCACTCTTAGAGAAAATTAGAAGATTCTCAATTGCGTGAGTATTCAACCCTGTTGTTATAGCAAACATAAACCCTGAAGATAAATTTCAAAGTGTGATCAAAGTGGGTTAATTTGACTTTATAGTAAAAGCATCTGTCTCTCTAAACCCCTTCATTTAGTGAATTTCAAGACACCTTCCACATAGTAATACAAACTTTTTGGGGTAAAAAGTGATCACAGATCAGGAGAAGGGTACAAGAATTGATCACATGCATGAGACTACCCAGACACATCTCAGACTGACAGCTCAATCGGTCTACCATTCAAACTGAGTGTCCAGACAAGCAGGAAGCTGGTTAGAGAGGCCACTGTGAAGACAACAGAGACTATGAAACATTTGAAGTTTTGTGTCTGAGATGGGATGGGAGTCATTGTGTATGTATTGATAATGTCTCAGTTTCCATACAACTCTGGCCTGTATGGGTGATAAGAAAGAAGAGTTTGGAAACAAGAATGTCAGAATATTTATAGTTAAGATGACAGGAATTAAACATTTTGGTCTAAATGCAAAGTGTTATGTCTGTCATTAGCCCAGCACAGCACAGCACCAAGCCAACACCATCCACACTGTCAAGCATGGTGGCGGCAGCATTATGTATGGGGCTGCTTATATTCAGCAGGACCTGAAGAAAAAACTACAAATACTACAGGAAACCTGCCTGAGTGAGCCAAGAAGTTCAGCATGACAATGACCTGAAGCACAGACTCAAGACACTGACACTGAAGGTGCCTGATAAGGGTCCCTGAGTGGCCCAGTCAAAGTCCTGACTTCAATCAAACACAACACTCATGGCCTGACAGTTGCAGTCCATCAGCTACTCCCACCCACTGTTTACCTAACTACCGAACGTGTCAGAACTGGAGTGATTTCATGAAGAAGAATGAGCAGAACTGCACCATCCCACTGAGCAGAGATCTATCCACTAATACAGGAGGTTTACCCTGAAACAGGCGCTTCCACAGAGAACTGACT